GTTCCGTCTCAGGTGGGAACGCTAACGAGAGTAGACATTATCGATCTTTCGAGTATTCTCGAGTTTAGCCAAGTGATGTCGTCGGAACTCGAAGTAGACAAACTGCTGACAAAAATGGTCGGGATCATTTTGGAATCTTGTAGTGGATCTGAGATAGCTCTCGTTATCACTGAGTTCGAATCCCAAGGATGGTGTGTTGCAGCAGCTGGGGAAATTGACAAAGGAGAAGTTGCCTATGCAGACGGCCTGCCGTTCGCCGAGGTGGAGGACAAAATGGCCCAGCAGATCACTCACTATACACTGCGGAGTCGAGAGCCGGTTCTGGTACATAACGTTCTCGAAGACGAGCGATTTTCGAATGTCTCCGATGTCTATGCTAGTCGAAACCCTGAAGGGAGATCTGTGATTGCGTTGCCGATCCTTCAAGCGAATAATTTCCTTGGAGTGATCCATATCGAAGGCAAACCTAACTCGTTCACGCATCGCAATCTCGTTGTTTTACGACTTGTGTGTAACCAAGTGGGCATTTCGCTTGCAAATGCATTCCTATTCCAAGAGGCGCGCAAAATCAGGTACGAGACCATTCCTAAGATTACGTAGTGCGTGAAGATATTAACGTGTATTTAGTGCTGCCAACGAGGCGATGATCGAGGCCCAAAAGCGATCACTAGCACAGGCGCGAGAAGCGGAGCAAAAGGCTAAAGAAGCCGAAGCTGAAGCCAGACATAACGTTAAGCTAAAGGAGGAGGCCGCCAAAGCGAAGTCTATCTTCTTGGCCAACATTTCTCATGATTTGCGGACACCGATGACAGGAGTAATTGGATTATCCGAACTACTTAAACAGACAAACCTAGATCGCCAGCAAGATGTTTACGTCGAGTCGATTCGTGTTTGTGCAGATACTCTTCTAACTCTCATCAACGATATTTTAGACTTTTCAAAACTAGAAGCAGGGAAGATGAAGGTGTCCACTGTTCCTCTTAATTTGAGACAAACCATCGCTGAGGTGGTCCGAGCACTTCGTTACACTCACCGAGACCGAGGACTAGAGACTATTGAAGACCTTGATGATATTGCACCAGATCTCCTGGTCCTGGGAGATCCAGTGCGCCTTCACCAGATATTTATGAACCTTCTCAGCAACAGTTACAAGTTTACTCCAAAAGGATCGGTCACGGTTCGAGCCAAGGTTGCCGAGGAGGACGAAACTACGATCAGGGTAACCTGCATCGTTGCCGACACTGGAATTGGCATATCTAATGAGCATCTGGCGCGTCTTTTCCGACCATTCTCTCAAGCCGACAGTTCGACAGCAAGGTCTTATGGTGGCAGTGGACTAGGCTTAAGCATATGCAAGGCCATCATCGAAGAAGTCCTTGGCGGGAAGATTTGGTTACGTTCTGAAGTGGGAGTTGGCACCACAGTCACCTTCACAGTGACATTCAAGAAGGCTCCGGAAGATGCGGTGGCCAGAACACCCTGGTCCCAGGAGCTATCCCAGGACAAGAAACAGCCGCCCCAAAAGCGAGTCGTGCGGGATCTTACATGCATTCCTCGCGATCAGATCCGGGTTTGCATCGCCGAAGACAATCCTATCAATCAAAAGATTGCTGTGAATTTCGTTCATAATCTGGGACTGACGAGCGAAGTGTTCAGTGATGGCCAACAGGCGGTCTGGGCATTGCAGCAGCGGTCGAAAGAAGGGAACCCATTCCATGTTGTCTTGATGGATGTGCAGATGCCAGTGCTCGACGGATATGATGCTACTCGGAAGATTCGCGAGAACGAGGATCCGAACGTCAACGAAGTCCTTGTCATCGCCATGACCGCCAGTGCCATCGAAGGGGATCGTGAAAAATGCATTGACGCCGGCATGAATAATTACCTCGCAAAACCAGTCCGATCTGACGTCCTGAGAAGCATGCTTGATCGGTATCTCGCGCCGCAGTCGAGACGGACAACAAGGCGAAAATTTGGCGGTAGCATCTCTCGACCAAACCAACTCGGTACCGAGAAGACGTCCGCTAGGGCTACATTACCGATCAGAAGTGTGTCAAATATGACGGTGGAAGAAGCCGCTAACAACGTAGAATCGAATGCATCAAATGGAGGTGCAAAAGCCGACGACACACAGGGGACTTGACGATAATTCGAGTTCGTGAGATCGTTCGTAACTATCGCCAGTCCATTTTGCACGGTTCCTGGTCGATGACTTCTTTGTAATACCTGCGCTTAGTGCCTCGCGTCCTCTTCCAGGTGTCCAAGCCCATCCTCTGACATCCGCGCGATGTGACAGAACCCGTTTGGCGCTTTTATTTTAACTGTTACCAGCCCTCGAACATTGCAACCGATGATACCAGCCTTGCGTCTTTCACATACAGGCACCATTTATGCATTTCCCGCGGGCATAGCATTTGCAATTTGGGTTCACGCTTTCTTTTCTTCATTTTCCAGTAACATGAACTGAAGATAATGATGTACCTGCCATGGCAAACATCTGCGTTTGAGATGATACGATACAACTTTTCTTGCGAATCATGGCGGGCGATAAGTATCACGTAATTCTAGACGTATTTTTCTTCTTGTCTGGGTTGATAGCAAAGGGAAAGCAATTGAAGTTTATGGGAAGCGGTTTAGCCAACTACATGCCTTCATGACTTACTTTGAATGACCCTCGGGAGCATATCAACGAGTGAAGAACATGGGAGTTGGATTCGGAATTTTATTTAGTTAACCTTTTTCTTTCCCTCTGTTTAACATCTTCTTTTCATCCTTTTATCAATTTTCCCTTTTATTTTTATTTTTAGTTTTATTTTTTTCGGCAGTTAGTTTTAATGCTCGCTCTTCTTGTACATACATACATTGACTATACGATATCAGGCGTTGTAAATATAATTACCTTTGTCCAGCGCGAAAGTGTCTAGGATGCAGCGGCGAGCCCAAAGTTCAAGACCGGCGACACGGCGAGGAATGAGAGCGAAAATATTGGATGCACAGCCCACACACCCACACAGCCATAGCACACAAGTGGTTTGGGCCAACCCAGGCTTGGGATGACTTTTCTCTCCGTCGCTGCACCCGCGACGATGGATGAATGCCCAACCGTCGCATCGCTGCATACCGATTCGCCGGCTAGGAGAGCACCCAAGGCAGCGGCAGCAGGGTCGATAGGCTGGCAGGACTGGAGAGAACCGCCAGTATCCTGGTCTGGCCGTCTCACCGTCAAGTTGCGGTGACGCGCTTAGAGCCCAGTTGTGTTACACTCAGACCTTCAGATCGGCTTCTTGTCGCTCCCACACTCACATGCACACTGGATGCAAACTGCAAGTCACGGCCTGCTTGAATATAAGAGCGGCACAGATAAGATGCAGGGATGATTCTTTTCTTTTCTTTTTTCTTTTTTCCTTTTTTTTTTTTTTTTTTTTTTTTTTTTTTTTAAATTTCCTCAGCTGCGTCGTGGTCAACTACGCCGGTGGTGGAGGACTGAACGATGTGGATGCTTTGGACAGTTGTAGAGTAGCCCAGGCGGAAACTGGAGGATGAATGTGGCAGACAGACAAACTACTAGCATAACTAGTTGACTCTGCTTGATAATTCCTGGGTTTGCTGGAAGAGTTTTGACGCTTGACGAGATCTGTTTGCCAGAGAAGTGAGACAGACGCCGTGATGCAACAGCGCCCAGCGCTGTGCACCGAGGAAGTTGTAGCAGATAACTCCAACTAGTTAACAGAGTAGCCGAACCAGCTGGACAGTCTGACAGACGACGGAGAAGCGTTGGAAACCCGGGCTGTTTCAACTTGCGTTTCATTTGGCTACGGAGAAGAATAAACCTTTCCCTTCTCCCGCTGTCGCTCTCTCTCTCTCTCTCTCTCTCTCTCCGTCCGTGCATCTCGACCCGCCGACAAACGTCCTCTCGCCCGGCGCCGCCCGCTGAATGTAACATGTAACTAACTAGTTAACTCTTTTCAACTGTTTAACTGCCGCAACGTACCTGTCAGGCCGATTCTTATGTAAGGTACACGCCGCGTTGCCAAAGAGCTGCCACCCGAGATGTTCGGCTGCCCGTTGAACCTGTATTAACTATATCACCCCGTTCGACGCCCAACGACGATCCCGTACTCAGACGGCCTCGCAAGGCCCGCAAGCCCAACTCTCCCTCCCTCTCTCTCTCTCGTTTCTTGCGCGCGCGCCCTCACTTTGCAGTTTCCACGCACCACTGGACAATGATCAACCGGGTTCTGCGGCCGCCATCTCTTTGGCCAATCTTAGCCAGTAGAGGGAATTGTAAGTTGTAAACACGTAACAGAGTGCAGTCCTCCCTAGCGTCCCCTACTTTGGCTCTCGTCTCACAGCATTATGGAGTCCAAGGAAACCACTCGTCTTCCTTTCTCCTCCTCCCTTGCTTTTTGCCGCCCGCCTAGACTCCCAGAGGCCCGGTCAACGAAGAGCAGCGCCGCGCCATCCCTCATTCGGCCTCGCCTAGAGTGGACTCAGCGCCATTCACCCAGTGCCCAACTTTCGCTGTCGACGGATCAGGCGGGACCAATCCCCTAGGTACCCACCGGACTGGCGAATCCCCGTGCGGATGGCCGCCCCTGCACACGCCTCTTTTCCCGACGCTGAGCGGGGTCGCCTGCGAGGAACGAATCGGGGCTTGGGATGGGTGATGGAGGGACCCTCCCTGCAGGGGGGGGGAGGGAAGAAACAAGGGATAAAGCGGGAAAAAGAAGTGGGAAGATTGGCAGAGAAAAAAAAGAAAAACAAGTAAAAGGAAAAAAATTATAAGAGGGCAATGGGAGTGAATCCCAACCAGTCATAACCCATCCCCATCCCACAGCTCAGAGTAAGACAGCAACGGAGCAGCGGACGAGGAGACCCCGGGGCGACTATCCGAATTGGGATGGGCTCTCCCCGGGGATGGGTATAAAAGGGGCTTCCTCTTCCTCCTCGTCCTCGTCCTCCTCCTTCTTCCTTATTTTCACCAGCTCCAGCTCCGACCTGACCTTCGCCTCATCATCAGAAGCTTCTTGGACTTATACCCAAATACTATTGACCATCCCTGGTCATCATCTATCCCCTTCTTATCCTTCACTTCCGCCTTAGCCTGCGCTGCGCGGTGTGACTGTCTAGCCCCAGCATCACTTTGCTGTCTCCCCTTGATACCCATCCCACCACATACCCACCCCCTCTGTCCTTCCTGGCAGACATCTGCTGCGTGATACGCGCTGCCATTGATCTGCCGCGGTTGCGCATCTTTGCACTTTTCGGAATCTTTTCAATTCTACCAGAAAGTCAAATTCATCATGGCTACCACTCTCCGCCCCCATGTTAGCCAGAACACTTCGTCTCTCCCCATCAATATGCCCTCCAAGGCGCCAACCAGCGCAAGCTACTTTCCCATTTCTCGTGTCTCTGGCTCCCCACCGGAGATCTCCGACGTGAGCACCACCACCGGAAGTGCCAGCGATTTTGATGTTTCCTCCTCTGGCTATTCCGGCGTCGATGTCATTGACACTTTGAACGACCGCATGAGCAACGTCTTCGACTCTAGCAGATTGGACACGGGAATCGCAAAGCAGACCCAAATGTGAGCATTGGAAATTGCAATGAAACGGCCACACTGGACCGTAATTCTTTGAATCCCGATTCTGACGTACTCTCTGCAGCTCCGGCCAGCTCAACGCCAAGCAGCGAGAACTCCTCGAACTACAGGCCCTGATGCAGCGCCGTGTCAAGGGCGCACGTGCAAACTTTGCTGAGGGAATCAAAGCTGCAAAGGAGACGAAATCTGACCTCGAATGGACCCATAAGCGGATCAGGTGGGTTATTATCATTTTCTGCAACATTGCACTTTTCCTATATCTTGCCCCTCTCCGCTCCGCTCCGTGCACGGGCTTCCCGCTCCGCTGTCCTTGGCATCACGTAGAAATCCGAAAATCTCAGATTTCTCAAGGAAATTGCCCCTTTCATCTCGCCGTGTTCGCCGCTAATCACGATTTTGCAGCTCCATGAAGGCGAAGGCTGAACGAAGTCTTCCTAGCGAATATCGCTCGGCCCACACCAAATATGCGTTCGATGAAGACTGCTGAATCCTCAATATTGCACCGCGCGTCTCATCATATTTTTCTCTCCTTGACGACTTTAACGAGTTATGGCTTTTTCTGGATATTCTTACTGTTGACAAAACTGTTCAGGATCCTGCGGCGTAATATTCTCGGTTCGATCCTTCTTTTCACATATCTGTATTTTTTCTGGGAGGGTTTCTCATTTGCAAGTTTGGAAATTGGGAGGGTTGGCTTTCTGCGGTCAGTTTTTTATCAGGTTTTTCATTTGTCGGGAACTTTACTGTTTTTAATTTTGCATATTTTGGCAATATACGAGCGTCATCCTTTTCAACCCCTCCGGGGTGTCCTTTTTCTCTTGGGGATATGTCCCCTCTAATCGAGCCTCTTAGGCCGTCCGCTTTTTACATCTGACCTCCGGAACCTAGGTATCCATGGACTCGTGGCTTTCCTCCGAATTAATGATGAGGTAGCAGAGGCTGTTTTAGCATGTCCTAGGCCCCGATATCAAGTCCTACACGACGTTCTGGATTTTCCGCTGGTTCAGACGTCGGTGCGCCCTGGATGAATCTTGACGACCTGCGATCTTTATTTGCACATCGCAAGACCACCTTCTCAAGGCCGGAAAACCAAAACATTCAGAGATCGTTGAGGTCTCCGGCAAGACTACGCCTATTTTTCCGCTCCGCCGCCTCCGCTCCACCCCCTATGGTTCTGTTGGCTTAGCTTGCCGCTTTTAGCGGAGGCCCATTTCCTTCTAGCGCGGGCGCGCTTAGCACCCAGCCAGGGGCCACATTTTTAACCGCGGGAGCAGGCCGAGACACCGTTTCTATTGGCTCCAGCTGCTCAGGGGAAAAACGGTGCTTGCCCCGCACTGTTGCGGGTCCCACAGTTCACGCACACCCCTGCAGATGGACGCTCCGGCCCAGCCCAGCCCAATGTGCTCGGGGGGGGGCGGGGGCGGGGGCGCGGGAGCGTGCGGCGGCGTCATAGGTCTATTTCTCCGGGTTCTGGTGTAGCTCGTGTAGGCCCCATGATTACGCCATATGGTCATCCGGATCGACTTGTAGGGTCATGTGGGTTATTGCCACGGGTTGAAAAGGGTTATGGGCACTCTGTAGCCATAGTCTTAAGGGACGTAGACGTCGATGTAGCCGGCGGTCCCGTAGGTGAGGTTACTGGGACACCGGGGAGTGTACAGCACGTAGCTTTTCTATAGGGGAGGCTGCCCCTATACCCGTAGCGTAACAGGTGCCTAACGAGCCGGGATATAGGGCTTATATTAAGCGTCGATGCTCAGCATTCCACCGTTAAATCTACCGGGGGGAACTGCTTCTCTTTAACACCCGTCCCCTATTTGCTTCCCCCCAACCCCAAAAGCTCAGGGGATGAGTGTGTTGTTAGACATGCCGGGAGCCGATCCTTAATTCGTTACTAGCTCACTCGTTAGTATCACATCCCTGAATTGTTTTACTTCTTCACCAGTCACGTTCCCGATTGAGCGCATCTTGTTTCACTCGAAGCATATCGCCAAGGACGCAGGGGCTGCTCTTCCGCGAGTCCTGGTCGTCGTGCGGACAAGGTAGGTCTACTGACTCAAATCATTGATTTGAATGTAGATATATCAAGATATTCCCGGGAATTGAGATGGAAATCTAGATGTCACAGCCCCAGATAGTTCTAGAGACCGTTCTATACCAAGTGTTTACAGAGTGACCATATCTATGATCACCTACTACCTCTATTATTACTACTTTGCCGGAATGGGGTTGACCAATTGTAGTTTATCAGATTCATTCAATCACAGTTACATACGTAGCTTTCGATTCTCGTTGCCTAAGAAACTGTCTGCAATGGGCTTATTATAAAAGAAACCCCCAATGCACCAGGACCAGCGCGCCCTTGCAAACGCACCAGCCCCATCCAAAGCACTCGATGAACAGACCGCAAAGCCACCCAAAGCAGGATCATAGCCCTTATAAACCATGTTCTTGAAATTGTGCGTGTCTCGCAATGTGTTCCATTTTGGTGTATATTACGTGTGACACGAGGGCGGGTTGAGGACACTTTAACTGCTATCCACATAAGCGAGAAGAAGCTGATGTTGTTCTCCTTGTCGCTCTCTAGCGTCTGCCTCGGCGACTGGGCTTGGCTGCTATACCTTCCAAAGAGGCTTTTATCACGCAACGGTGGTGTTCTCGGTATTTCCAGTTTGGGAGATAGGTCGGGTTCGATGTCGTCTGTGGAATAGGGATTGGCAAGTTGAGAAAACTTCCAAGAGAATAACCGTGGATGAATTGGTTTCGTGGGAGTGTGTGGCATGCAAGCCCGTTGGCAACTTTATATCTAAGCAGGTCTCCCCAAGACGCCGTCATCCTGGCAACACATCACACAGGCTATCGCCTGTACGTTGGGAAGGGGAAGCAGAGGCCAGTTGCCATGCCTCAAATGAGCCATTGCAGAAAGAGGAAGATACTGAGCTAGAAAGAAAAAAAGAGTAGAAAAGGGGGGAAGAGAGAGATCCCTTTATATATAGAATAGTAACAGTGTCACCAAAGTAGCACTCCCAAGGTAGCTGCCGGCAAAGTTAAATTCAGCAAAATCACTCAATAATTCTGCTTGTGAATATATGAGCGGCATATTCTTCACTCTCCCTGATTTCTCTATGGGTATCCAAAGGGTATTGCTTCACTGATGATGGAAATTTCCTCACGAGGCAAAAGCCCTTCGTGACAGATATCAACAATGAGCTTATATAGATAGGAATTCGAGGAATTCTTCCGAGGAACAACATCTTTTATAGTGAAAAGTCTTCAACATCAAAGGCACCAAAGAACCCAGAAAAGTGGCTAGTTAAGGGCTTCTTCTAAGAGCATCTGGCCAGGTGTGGTTGCGTGGTCAGAGATCGGTTAGTTAGTGACTACTACTAAAAGTTGTTAAGATTACCTCTCAGTGTATGACATTGAACAGTGAAACAGCATCCCACATAAAACAATGTGGAGGAAAACAAAACAGAAGTTGCAAGGTTGTCAAACAGGGCTTGAAGCTTAAATTTCGGATTAGTTAGTACCTAGAATCTAAAGTGAAAGATCCTAGACAATCTCCCGTTCATCCATTGCCCGAGCAATAACCGAAGCAAAACGCCTGGCCTTGTTCGTATCCTGCATAGCCGTTCCGATGCCAAGGAGGACTTTCTTAATCCCAACTCCGATAGTGCTGCTCTGCGTCATATCGCGAATTCCAGACAAGGCCACTTCTACCTCCTGGGGGGAGAACGATCCCGTTTCCTTCAGAATATATGCCAGCTCTTCATATGTGTTAACATTTGGCACGGCAATGTCAGAATCAAAGGAGTTGAACACATTCAGTTGCTTTAGCACCGACCGTTCAGCGGTGGTAGCAAGAATGAGCAGCCGGCGACCCTTGGGAGGCTGTTTCCTTAGCAAAACCATGACCGTCTGGAGGATCGAGTTGCTGAATCGAAGTCCGACGGGGACCCAGTCGATAATTCGCTCGATATTATCCATTACCACAACACTGATAGGACTCTTATACGCATCGTTGAATACCTTGCTCATATGTTGAACCTTCGCCATCTCATTGAAGCCCACCATATCCTCCGGGCTGATAAGCTTAACGAACGGGAAGTCTGAGTCAATGGCCATCTTTGCAGCCAGTGCGGTTTTACCGCTTCCTGGGGGTCCGTGAAGTAATACCGAGAATAGCTGGGTCGTCGACTCGGGGTCTCGGACCTGGTTGACAAAGAGTTTTCCTTCTTCCAGAATGCTATCGATAGCCGGGGAGAAATGGATAATGCCGCCATTGATACAACCTTCAAACTCTTCTTTCGACACACCAAAGGCAGGTTTCACCTCTTCAAGAGCATTCTGGAAATCCTGGCGATTGACTTTCATATTAACGACATCGTCACTAATTCCAGCCATTGTACCGATTTTGACATGTCGATTAAAGGCGAACGAGGATGCAGACTTGACCAAACCACTGATCTCTGCTCCGGAAAAGTTTTTAGTCAGCTGAGCCAGCTCAGCTAGGTCCACATCGCTATCCATAAGGTTACCCTCCCGCATCTTTTTCGTATGAATCTTTAAGATCTGTACTCTCCCTTTTTCGTCGGGAAGAGAAATTTCCATGTGGACTTCCAATCGACCGGGACGCAAAAGGGCATCGTCGATCATATCCATTCGATTGGTCATACCAATCAACAGGATATTGTTCAGTTGGTCAACACCATCGAGTTTAGATAAAAGCTGGTTCACGATGCTATCACCGACACCAGTACCACCACCGGCTCCGCTACCTCTTTGTTTGCAAACAGCATCCAGTTCGTCGAAAATGATGATGTGAAGTCCGCTCTCCTCTCCTTTCTCCCTGTACTCCTTTTCGGCATCGGCGAAAAGTTTCCTAACATTCTCTTCGGATTGACCGACGTATTTGTTCAAAATTTCAGGACCATTAATAACTTTGGGTTCCTTTGCATTCAACATTTTCCCAATCTGTCTTGCGATCAAAGTTTTACCTGTTCCAGGGGGGCCGTAAAGTAAAATACCCTTGACGTGTTGAATTCCCAGCTTCTCGACGAGGCCGGGTGGGAAAATGCGAGAGGCGAAGGCTCTGCGGAAGATGGTGCCAAATTCCGTATCTAAACCGCCAATTCCCATGTTTTCGAACTTGAAATCAGGCTGGATAATCGAATTCGCAGCAGGTCGTCGGTTGGATGCTTTCAAATTAATTCCTGTTCTTGCATCCTTAAAAAAGTTGATTAAGGTGTGTCTGGTGAGTATGCCCCTTGACGTAGGATCGGACGATATTGGGGCAGACGAAGATGGCTTCTCCGACAGATCACCCAGTTGAACAGTTTTAACGGTCAGCAAAAGCGGAATACTTCTGTCATCCATGAGCACTATCTGGCCAGGCGCAAGGATTTGATTTTCAAAGTTCTAACCTAGTTAGTGCTGGCTCATTATTTGTCTGTGCTTAGAGGGAATACATACCCTGATGAAAACATTGGCAAGCTGGTCTTGATCATAGGGGATATCCGTTCGCTTTTTACCAGCAAATCCGACCTCCATATCCATAGAAGCAAGATAGGCTTGACTACCCTGACTGAAGACGTCGTATAGCTTGACTTCAACCATGTCTGTTAATGCCACTTGAGCCCATGTTCGTTGTGGATCAGACATGCTAATGTGTCCTTGAGGGAACCCTTCCAGAGGACGAGCTGAGAAAACATATAAGTTGTTCACTAGGACTAGTACATCTGATCCATCCCTCGAGGGAGGAATATCACGCGTGGAAACGGCTACTCTAATAGGGCACACAGTTACAATTAAGGATAAAACTCGAGGTGGGTGGGTGGCTGAAATGAACTTACAGGTTCCCATATGTGTAAGAATTGTCTGGGCTTTTTGCCGGCCGCAAAGTCCAAACCTGATCACCAGCTCCTCTGCTGGGTGGCATCATTCTTCCTCCGCCCGATGATGGGAGTGGCCCGGGAGCTCGGCCAGGAGGAGGCCCTCCATATCTTCTTGGTTCATTATATCCGTCAGTCATCACAATGTCATAATCACGCTGACGGAACGGTGCCGCATACCCTCCGCCCGTTCGAGGGTCTTGGCCATAGCCATCTGGCCGGCCCATTGGCTGGGAAGGCATGTTGTATCGATCGCGGGGCGGCCGAGCTCCATCGCCACCGGAAGAGCCGCTGGAAAAGGGATTCGGAACGGAAGGCAAATTACTGCGATTGAACATAATGTTGCTATATTGGTAACGGCTTCAGGAGTTCATGGGATTGTCAAGATAAGATGGTGTCTTCTTAACTCCGCGGGAAAGGCACGGGTCAACAAGACCAGTCAGTGTAGAGAACGGAACAAAACTAGCAGAGCAACAAAAAGCCTAGTCTATGGTTATTAGGTAAATCGTAAACTATATAAAAGTCTATACAAACGATGGCACGACAGAGATAAAAGAGGACTGATTCGGTGAAGCGGTGCTGTCTGGCCTGAAGCTCTCCTGGCGAACGACGGCATTCCCGCCGCCCACCTCCGTTCACGCCACGCCACGGCTGCTTAGTCATCATCGGGGCGCTGAAACCGCCGACGTCACAGCTCCGGGACGTGAAGCTTCGAGCAGGAAGACGCGATGTGCTCGAACCTGGTGGACCCTTCGAGACCATGCCTCTGTATGTAGTCCATATTGCTCCGCATTTAGAGTGACGACTCTTGCTGACTAGTATAATAAGGCACTTACTCGGAAAGAAATCATGGAATGTCTACAACAGAGAAAATATCGCAAGGGTTCGGCGGGATGAGGCGCTGGCCAAAGATCGAGAGGAAGAGAATGAGAGGCGCGAGCAAGAAGTTGTTGCCGAAAGGCGAATTGATTTCCTGCGCAACCAGCGCCCGACCTCTCCTCTATCACAACAGGATTTTTCCCGAGATATCGCGGCCACAAGGGCACCTACCGAAGTTAGACACCGCAAGCGGCGGCGTCTAGCAGGAGAAGATGATACCGACCGAGACATTCGGCTCGCTAGGGAAGATGTGCTTCTGAGAGCTGGGTCGAGTCGCGAAATTACCTCGCGCAAGCCGACGAGTAACGCACCGCTCGTTGATTCTTCTGGACATATCAGTTTGTTTCCGCGCAAAGCCGATGAGCGGCCTGGAAAGAACGACGAGGCCGAGGCAGAAGCAACTAAGGCCAAGCGAGAGTACGAGGATCAGTATACAATGCGCTTTTCAAATGCTGCGGGATACAAGCAGGGGATGGAAGCCCCATGGTATTCTACCTCACAGCTGGACCTTGCCACGCGGACACAAGATATTCCTGCCAAGGATGTCTGGGGTAATGAGGACCCCGGCAGGCGAGAACGCGAGAAGATGAGAATAGACGCAAATGACCCTTTAGCAGCGATGAAAATGGGCGTCCGCCAGCTCCGTGATGTTGAGAAAGAACGAAAGGAATGGGAAGAAGAAAGAAAGAAGGAACTTAAAGCTTTGAAACGGGCGGAGAAGGAATCGAGGCGACGTCGTCGCCGAAGATCTCGCTCGTATAACAGCCTGGAGGATTTTAAATTGGATGAGGATCCAGTTGATGAGCAGAAACATAAGAGAAAACGCCGCCCCCATAGGTCTCACAGGGAAACGGATCGTCCAAATCCAGGGCATGATTCAGATCATCGCAATGATAGGCGCTCAAACCACCATGAGAAGGATAATAGTAGAGTGAGACGGTGAGATACTGACATTGGGAGCTACCCGCCCCCTATATGGATGTGTGAGCAACAAAATTGTGCAGTTGGTCAGTGATCTGATCGAAAGGGATAACCCATACTTTTGTATTCTATAACAGCGATTTTTTATATCTATTTGACCATCACCTTTATGCTGAACATGTTGAATCATTTCCCATATCACATCAAAAGCGAAAATTTCGAATGCTTGGGAACTGGCAAGCTCACTGCAATGCCCATTCCTGGTGAACCGGAGGCTCTTCATCAACTGCCCATTCGATGTCGATATCCAGTAAACGCGACTGCTCTTCCTTCTTTTTGTATCCAATTTTTCCCTTAATCACTTGACCTTTTTTCAATGGACGCTCTTGGTGTTTTCCACGGTTTATCAAAAACACCCCTTGCTGCCAATGGGTTTCTTTTCCATCAGGGCCAGTTGTAAAGGCCACATAGCCCGACTTCTTCATCCCGCCTGGAGTGGCATTATCTGCAAGCTTGCTTTCACAAGAAGGCATAAAAAACATGTCAAACCAAACAAGCCAACCATCCAAGGTGTCGGCATCTTTTGTTATAGCAACTTTGAACTCTTTGACAAACGTGAGCTCTTCAACTGTAATAGTGTGCAAAGGGAGAGACAAAAATAAAGCAGAATCTGCAACCATTGCAGAAGGGCTGATTGTTTGGATGAGAACCTCATCATAGACGTTCTCAAGCATGCCTGACATCTTGAATCCATAAACTGAATTCCAGAATGATATATGCTCATCAATGAAATCGGAATCTGCAATGGGTGCTATCCGAAGCGTCGCATGTGAAGGCACCATTAGTCCTCCATGTGCGAGATAGCGATCTCGGGCAAAGAGCACTGAGTCGAGCATCGCCTCAAATAGGAGACAGTATCCCATCCACTCCGAGACTATAACGTCAACTTGCTTTACAGGCAAGACTACTTCCTCAATTTTACCCCGGATACACCTACAATATTGAAGGGTTAAATCATAACAGTCTCGGAAGCGCTTTAGGGGTAACGTACTTGATCACGTCGCCGAATCCATTCTCATACACGATTTGGCGTGCTTTGTCGATGATATCTGAATTGTCAACGGCTATAACCATCCTTGCTCCGGCCTTTGCACAAAACATAGACAAGATCCCAGATCCGCAGCCCACATCCAGTACGACTTTATCCTTAAAGATACTTTTATTATCGTAAATGAAATCGCGGTAAGAATCAGTTCGAACAGTATCCTTTAACATCGATTCATGTATCGCTATGAAAAAGTAGTTTGTCAACAGCTTTTGGTAGATAATATTTAAGGAGAGGGTATCCATACTGTTATAGGCATAAGAAGTGAAGTACCCAGCTTCTGCATCCTTATATCTCCTTGTCTCGGTAACGTGCTCGTTTTGACTCTGGTTCGGAGGGATCTGCGAGCCGTTTTCGACTTCGCTCCCAAGCTGTTTGCTGAGCGATCTCTGCACCATATTCTTGTATTCAACGAACTCTTCCCGAAGGCGACTGAGCTCTTCTTCAAGATCCCTTATTCTAGAGGTAGGATTCGCGGCCTGTTGACCAAGGTCTTCGTCGCCATCCGATATATCCTCTAGAGTATATAGAAGCGCGTCATCTTCCAGCACTGGCTTAAGGTACTTGTCATCCTCAAATGGGGCATTGGACGATACATCCGGCTTGGTATTCCCCGATTGGACTTCCGACCGGATATAATTGACGAGCTTTATGCTCCCAAGGAAATCTAGGCCTGAAATTGTAGGATCTGCGTCAGCCATAGCCTTTCGCGACGATATTCCATTCCAGCTATTGGAGCTACACACCAAGCTCCTTCTGCACCTTAACAAGGTCGAAGTTGAAATTTTCTTTGCAGTGTTGAAGCATTGACCGGGTGTCTGGAAAGACCTTGTCGCTAAAGAGGTCAACGACAGGATTGACTTCTTCATCAGGCTCAACATCCTCCCATCCATCGTCCTTTGTGAGATCTAGACATTCGCTGGGACTCGATTCACTGGAGCTATCTTCGACATCGTCGACGGCCTCGCGAGGCCGAGCAGGAAGTTCGGAGTCCGTCATAGTCAAAACAAGACAGATATTCGTCTATATTCCAGTCGCGTAAAGCTGAAAGATCGTTGGACTTGGGTGTTCAGGCTAGTCGGTTTCTCTTCTGAAAAATTTCTGCGGCTCGCGACCTTCTACCTTTTTTACCTTCACCGAACGGAGTGGTGGGGCAGAAGCGCAGGCTCTCGACCCCACCAAAAGGGGGATAACGTCCAGCCGCTCGCGCCTAGCCGCCCTTTGTTTAGCTGCTCCGTCAGCCCACCACCACGGGGGTTACGGTCGTGGACTCCATCCATCAATTGGACGTTAACTCTAAGAATGCCCTTTGCACGAGGCTGGCTTCCTGAAATCCATAGACCAAAGACATGCTACATGCCTCCGTTCTAGATATCCGACTTGAGCTCTATGTTGATCCCCGCTCCGGGCCTGCAACCGAAGTTCGTGCGCTTGTGCCAGTATACTCAACAGGTTGCAACCCTCCTCGATGGCGTTCCTATTCAGCCGCAACAAGTCTCGGCAACCCGCAGAGATTGCGAAGACATTGAAGGACCTGCTGGCACGCTTGTGGCAGGCACCCGGGTCCCCCAAGGTAAACTCGCGGACCAAGTCAAAACTCCTCAAGCACTCTAATTTGGCTATTAGATCGAGGAAGATTTAGCAAAACATTTGGCACAGATAAAGTTGATGGTCCAGGGAACACAGGGTAATGTGTTCCGTCTTGTGAGAAACAGATGCCAGAATGCTCGGTCACTAACAATTCGCTGGTTGCAGAAGTTGATAGCCTTCCAGATCAAGTGCATCAGCTAATACAGGCTTTCATCCTTGATGACCTCCTCTACGAGTTGGCCCGAAGCATCCAGCATCTTCCCTTTGAGGCCAGAAAAGATACCCAGACAATATTTTCCCACCTCCTTCGTTTCCGACCACCCAATATCACCTCGACAGATCCCCCCGTCATATCTTATATTGTAAATAAACGACCGGAAATTCTTATTCAGTTATGTCACGGCTACGAAAACAGTAGAAGTTCAACGCCTTGTGGGACTATCCTGAGGGAAGCCTTAAAGTTTGAAGTGGTGACGGGGATTGTCCTATATGACCAGTCCAAAGACGAGGAACCTGCGATCAGGCTGAACGAGGTTCAACCTGGGACAGTACAAACAGGGGCAGGAGTATTTTGGAATTTCTTTCACTGGATAAACGAGAGCAGTTTTGAAGTTAGCGCCGATGCGTTTACAACTTTTCGTGTATGTTGCTAGCTGAAAATCTCCTTTCGGTATGATGCTTTCGAGCAATTCTGCTAATCTGTCGATAATAGGAGATTTTGACGAGGCACAAAGCTTTAGTGGCTGGTTACCTTGCAACCAATTTCGATCTTTTCTTTTCTACATATAACAACGTTCTCGTCCTCTCAGATTCCTACGTGACCAAGCGTCAGAGCATCAAACTATTAGGCGAGCTTCTCCTCGACCGAGCGAACTACGGTGTTATGACGACATACGTAGACAGCGGTGAACACCTAAAACTATGCATGAATTTGCTCAAAGACGACCGCAAAATGGTCCAGTATGAAGGTTTCCACATATTCAAGGTAAGACTACACTTCCTACTAAATGGGCCGTTGACCTCATCTGAACTCTTGCAGGTCTTTGTAGCAAATCCAAACAAGTCTGTTGCGGTGCAACGGATTCTGATCAACAACCGTGATCGGCTCCTTAAATTCCTCCCCAAATTCCTCGAGGACCGAACTGATGATGACCAATTTACGGATGAAAAGAGCTTTCTTGTCCGCCAGATTGAAATCCTTCCCCCGGAGCCAGTTGCGCCTCGATAGAGGTTTCCGATCACCAACCGCACCAGATGGTTGCATTACATCTATTCTCTCTTTGGCTTTCGTTCGTTCATCTATGACTACGGGCCATAATTGAATATATTTTACTGGTTCGTGCGCTAATTGACTCAGTACCAGACTCGTTGTAAATATATAATGCGCCAGCGCAGGGGCATTTAGTAAACAATATCCAAAGCTCCCATGGCGGCAAAGCCGATAGCCGGGAACCCACATAGTACTCAGGACACTTGAACCAACCCAGAAGGGTTTCAGAATAGACATAGTTCAAATAGTTCTGACATCTCACTTATCACCACAAGCAAGGGTTCAGCAGCTGAAACAAATAAACCTATAAACCACTCCGTATTAGTATTCTACATATCATAGAATTACATGGCGCAACCTTCCTACATCTCTAGCGGAATTAGAATATAACCATCGAACTGAACAAGAGTGAAGCCTTTCCATCTTCTTTGCCTCTCATAGTTACCTCAGTTCACCGAACTTGAGAAGCGAGAACAGAGCGAGACTTCTTTTTGACCTCAGGTTACGACGGAATTTTAATAATCCGAGCCGACCAAAGATAAATCTAACCATAAAAGGTTTAGCTCTCTTGGCGCTCTGCAACTTTAAATAGAGGGTTTTTCTCGCCTTTCCATCAACATTGCTTCCTCTATCCATTCGGGTAAAAGGTCTTTTTTGAAGATCATGCTTCAGTACGAGGATGACCACCCACCATCCGCATCTGACGGCTTCTGAGCAGATCCTCTCCTTTGCTCCGCAACCGGCCCTGGCTGGTAGCATCTTCATCCAGGTTGTCAGCCACTACGAGCCTTTTTCAGAGCAGCAAAACCGTGCTAGAAAGTCTCTATAGTCCGCTTGACATGTGAACTTGCTAATCCAAATGATACCTTAAACAGTACAAATCTACCTTAATACCAAGTCCATGTCAATGCACTGGCAAAACTCACAAAAGACATATCATGACTTCTTTTCTCAAGTTTTACTACAAAGTGAGCGCCTCAGGAAACAAGACACCACAACTGTCACCTGCGGCCTCTTCGGCCTCAGGTTAAACTGTGGTTAGAAGATCCGCAAGACCATCCTCCGGGTGATGCAATTGGCCCCTCCGTGACCATCACCGGTGTGTGATTGGGCGGAAGCAGCGCTTAGAGTCGACAGAAATTGATCAGATACAAAAGTGAAGGCCTGATGTCAATCTATGTTCTAGGATAAGTTGCATAGCTTGAAGTCACACATATCATTCCTCATTCGGTCATGTCAGTGTTGGCTATGAAAGACCAGCTGAAGCTGGTACATGTAACAAATTTTTTTTTTCTCTTTTTCCCCGCAGAATCCAAAGTATGCTGCGAGTCTCTTTTCTAATCATATTTTCTCTAAAGCGGAGGGAGAATCCAAGGAAAATATGCTTCCGATGCTCTGCATTTTTTTTGACCCCGACGGGGCTTATCTGATTGAAGGTCCAATATTGACCGCCCATTCTCAATGCTTTTCATCTCGGCTCGTGCCTCTCGAAGGTATTGGGCGACTTACAAGCTTTATTTCGAAAAAGCTAGATGCTCCCCGGCTATGTATGGGATAAAAGGTTCCAAGGAACAAACATGTGCTGCCGCCCAGAGCGGTTACGAGTGATAAGAGTCTTGCCCCTCTTCCCCAGAGAGCACACCATTGATCCACCATCCGGAAGATTGCTTGGCATCCATCAGGCTATTGGTATTGTACCTTCGTCTCAGTGGGAAGAGCCCAGATACTTTGGGACACTGGTGGGGGGAACTGTGGATCTTACCCACGTTGTCCATCTGGTTGATTTGATGGAGTCTCTACTCCGTACTGCATATGTTATATCGCTTGTTTGTCGACCGGTGCTACGTCCCACCAAGTTGATACAAACTATGTATGTATGTACATGCCTACGGAGCTACAAGCTTGAGTAGAGAGTTTCACGGACTACTTCCACTTCTCCCAGCCCCCTGTAGCGTTGCAAGGCCGGCACATGCCTAGGCACGTCCCTGTAGTTGTTTTCAAAAGCCCCAAAACAGTCGGGGTCGTGAAGGCCGGCATTTTGCTCGGATTTATATAATGCCGGCGGTACGGGCCAACCGCGATTAGCCGCGGCCACACAAGTCTTTTTTTTGGCGGGGCAGCTCCGGGCGACGAGGGGCAAAACGACTTGGAACAGGGCAGAGAGTTGCGTCTCCTGCGCAAAAAGAGCACGGCGGTGAATGATATGTAGTAGAGCGGAAGGGCGCTCTCGTCGGTTGAAAGCATCGGAATGGGAGTGGGAAAAAAAGGGAACCGCCCAATACGAAACCCCTCAACCGTCACTCGGCACATGCCATTGGCCTGGAGACTCTCAGGGCCTGGAACACCTCCCGATCACCGAAACAAGCTTCGGCTCGGGCTACTGGACCCAAACAGACAACGCAGGACAGTGAGCGTGCGGGGTTCCAAACTGGCCGAGCGGCGGCAGATCGGGTGTTTTTAAAGCTCCTCGTGGTTTTGGGACAAGGACCCCCGGAGAATTTCTTTTCATCCTGACCAGAAATTCTTCCCCTTGCTTTTGATCTCTCTTTTGCTACTCACCTCTTTCTCTATTTCTCTCTATTTTCCTGCTTTTAAAACCTGAGAGCAAAGTACCTTATTAATCTGAAAGATCTGCCGGCCATGACGAAAGAAAGCCAGATTCCCGTCGGGGAGTATCTATTCCGTCGTCTGCACCAGCTCGGTCTCCGCCACATCCTCGGTGTTCCCGGAGACTTCAATCTCAATCTCCTTGACCACATCTACAATGTCCCTGACATGCGATGGGTGGGCACCTGCAACGAACTCAACGCCGCCTATGCCGCCGACGGCTACGCACGCACACGCGGCATACCGGGAGCCGTCATAACAACCTATGGTGTTGGAGAGCTCAGCGCGATCAACGGTATCGCCGGAGCGTATAGCGAATATGTCCCTGTCATCCACATCGTTGGCAACACCTCCCGCGATATGCAGCGTAACCACGTCAAGATACATCATACTTTGTGGATGGATGAATGGGATCATACCACTTATCAGAAGATGAGTGAGCCCGTACGAAAGGACTCTGCATTCCTCACGGACCCGGCCACCGCCCCCGAGCAGATCGATCGCGTGATAGAGACCTGTGTCAAGACCCGCCTGCCTGTCTATCTCTTCGTCCCCATCGATGTTCCCGACCTCATGACCGATTCCTCCCGATTGTCCATTCCTCTTGACTTGGAAGTTCGCAACGAGGGAAGGGAAGCACATGAAGATGAGGTTGTCTCTGAGATTGTCCGCGCGATCGACCAGGCTTCCAGCCCCGGTGTGCTCATAGATGTGTTGGTACAACGTCATGTGTTGGTCGGTGACGCCAAGGAGTTGATTGAACAGATTAATGCTCCAGTACGCTGGCTCCTATTGCCCTCGAACATTAATGTGGGGTGAAATTTTCTACTAACAAATTTGACCTTTTTTTTTTTTTGGTAGTTTTATATCACTCCTATGGGCAAGTCGATTGTAAATGAATCCGACCCTCGCTTCGCCGGATTGTATGGCGGTATAGTCTCCAATCCATCGAGCGCACAATCGCAGATAGAGGGACACGATATCATATTACACGTTGGACCTTTCCCCGTCTCGGCAAACACCGGCGGATTCTCCACTAATCTCCCAGGCGATAAAGTAATCAAACTACACCCAAGTTATTGCTCTGTTGGGAACAGAGTGTGGGATGGCCTTGACTTTAGACCAGTGGTTAAGAAGCTGGTCCAGCGACTCAACAAACAGCCGTTGACGCGCAAGGCCAGCTCGGTCCCCAAATGCCAGCCGTATAAAGAAGTATGCAGCCACCCCCCTTTTCCAGGATCTGCCAATGAGCATGCGGCATGCTAACCCCTGCCATAGACCGCACACGTTGATGATTCCTGCGTCGATGGCCTTGACCACAAGCGATTTTGGGATCGACTAAGCAGATATATCCAGCCCAATGACTTTGTGATTGCGGAAGTTGGAACGTCGCAGTTTGGATCTTTGGATTTGAAATTGCCAGATAACTGTCAGTATTTCAGCCAACTGTACTACAGCTGCATCGGTTTCACGGTTCCGGCTCTCCTCGGAGTGCTGCTGGCCCGGAAAGAAACGGGCGCCGAGGGACGTGTCATTCTGCTCGTGGGTGACGGCAGTCTGCAGATGACGGTGCAGGAATTTGGAACGATCATACGGGAGGGGCTGAAGCCGACCATCTTTGTGGTCAACAACGCGGGATACTCGATCGAGCGTCTCATCCACGGTCCCATGCAGCAGTATAACGATATTTCGACGCAATGGGACTACCAGAAGATGCTGTCGTTCTTCGGAGCTCCGAATGCTCCCACCTACGTGGCCAAGACCTACGCGGAGCTTGGCAAGGTTCTGAACGACGAGGCGTTCAAGAAGGGCGACCGGATCCAACTGCTGGAGGTTTTCTTTGACATGCTTGACTCGCCCTGGAACCTGACTGCTTTGTTGGACCTGAAGGAGAAGAGATTGCGCGCAGCAGCTGCGGCTGCGGCTGCAGCAAACGGGAACTGAGAGCTGAAAAGACATGGTAACCATGTACCCTGCCGTAACTGTACACACCCACGGAGATGTGTATTTAGCTACATACATACATACATACATTAGAACCAATAGAGATAAACGAGCCCAGCTGCAGACACTCCATACAACACTCCGCCCTCTGCTCTCATTTCCATACACACTCCGCCCTCTGCTCTCTGCTCTCTGCTCTGCATCCGGCCGGCTGCCACGCGGCAAGCCACAGCAAAGTGCGGGTGTTTGCTATGTTTGCTATGTTTGCACCACCTCCCCAGAGTCTGGGCAGCTAGTCCTGATGCGGCATGGGTTCCCGCTAGCGCTGGCTTGGGGTGGCTGGTGGAGCCGTCGGCGCTAACTCGAACGGGCTGGAAAGCTTGTCGCCCCCTTTTAAATTGCAGTTTTGGCTTGGAACGAGGAGACCATTTTGGTTGCAAGCGAACGCCGATCGGCACCATGGCATCTCTCTTTTTCCCTTTCGCCATATGGCAGTTCTCTTGCCCTACCAGTATAATAAAGGAATGAGGATCTTAAATCTGTCAATTAACACAGCTCCTGCTGATGACTTAAGCAGAACGCAGCTCTCCGTCTCTCCCCCCCCCTCCCCCTCTCTCTCTCTCTCTCTCAACGCTCGTCACTATCCCAGCCCGCAAAAAGGCCCATTGCCCACGTCGCCCCGTAAATTTTGGCCCCAAGCAATTGTTTCAATTCCTAACGAGTTGTCACTCTGAAACTTGCCGTCCTCTTGACATCGCCCCGTTTTGCGCGTGTCTGTGACTTTAAATACCTGCGATGGCTGAAGCGGATCCCCCCGCACCGAGCCTGCGGAAGGGCAAGTCCAGTTCGAGCCTCAAGACTGTCATACAAGAACAGTCCGCTGCAGCTGAATCGCCCATTGCCAGAGCCGAAGTGCCCTCAATGCCTTCTAGAGAACCAATCTCCGATAACTCAAGTCACCCGGATCTCTCCCCGCAATCCCCAACGTTGACGGTCCGTCACGCCGAAACTGAGAAGCTGAGGCCGAAGACAGCCCTCCCACGGACAAGTTTTAGCAGGGCCAGGGCGTCGCTCGACGGTCGCTCCATAGCCAGCCTGAAATTCACCCCGCGAATTCCGAGCATAATGGTAAACGACGCCCCTCCCCGTCCTAGTTCGAGGATGTCAGAGCGCAGTGTGCGGTGGGGCGGTCGGAGGGCGCAGAAGAAACCTGAAGTCCCGACGGTGCCACCGCTTCCCGCTGTCGAGCCGTTCCGTGGAATAAGGCTGGATATACCGTCTGGCTCGTTGGAAGACCTTACCACTGCCACTATGGAAGCTTTGCAGTCGTCAACTCCAGACCAAGCTCCCAACAAGCAGGCGCCGCCAGAACAGACTCCGGAAGGTTCCGCCAATACCACGGAGGCGAAACTCACCGTCAATGGCTCGACCCGTTCTTCAAGCACAAGGCGCATTAGATCGGCAAATTCCTTGCGTTGTAGGCCAAGTGTTACTTCGAGTCGGCCTATCTCCGCCGATGAGGAGATACTGTCTCACAAAGTTAGATTGATGTACGAAATGGGTGATGCAGATATTGATGATTCCGAAATTGGACAGCTGTTGAATGAGGATCAAGATGTTCTGTGGGAAGAGCCATCATCTCTGGAGGACAACGGGGATCGAGTATCTGCTACCGATAATAATTTACTCACTGAACCGGTAAACGCTCCGAAGAGCGGATCCCGGCGGGGTAGTATGATCCAGCGAGAAGAGACTGAATTAGCGGGGGGCATAGAGGACTGGAATAACGTTAGGAATGAGGATGTAGACAGATATGGGTTTATCATCCCGCGCTGGGACACCGGAGACGGCTCGGAGCCGAATCCACCCCAGCCGCTTCAACGCGTGTCGACGAGTCTGATGCTTGCTTCTGCTTCCCCGCGTAGAAAGCGGACATTACGAAGGACTCCCACGGCGACTGCCAGCATCAGGTCGTTCTCCGGTCGCTCTCCTTCACGAAAGTCGACCGACCAACCCAACCGCCCAACCTCTTCTCAGAGTTCTTACCACCCAAATCTAACCAGGACTGCTTCCAGGTTTCGATATGCTACTAATAAACTGCCGCATAACAAGGATCGAAAGCTGATGGATGAAGCCAGCGATATGTTGACGCTTCCGGCATCAGTGGAGAGAGAGATGGCCCACGACGACACTCCCTATGCTCGCGCTATGAAGAAGAAAGAATGGGAACGGGAGGACAAGTGGAGGAAAATGGCCAAGCTCACGTCGAAGGACAGGGACGGTTCTGGGATGACCTTTGAATTCGATACCACCAGCCCCAAACTCATTGAACGGACCTGGAAGGGTATTCCCGATAGCTGGAGAGCGACAGCATGGCATGCATTCCTCACAGCTAGTGCCAAGAAGCGGAAAGACAGCCCGACGGATGAGGAACTCATTCGCCGCTTCAATGAGCTACAGGACGAGCCGTCGCCTGATGACCTCCAGATCGATATTGACGTCCCGCGCACGATAAGTAGCCACATCATGTTCCGTCGACGTTATAGGGGTGGCCAAAGGCTATTGTTCCGCGTTCTTCATGCTATGTCGCTCTATTTCCCTGAGACTGGCTATGTTCAGGGAATGGCGTCTCTGGTTGCCACCCTACTTGCATACTACGACGAGGAGAATGCATTCGTGATGCTAGTTAGGCTTTGGCAACTTAGGGGTCTGGAACGTCTGTATCGTTCTGGATTTGCCGGGTTGATGGAAGCACTCGGAAATTTCGAAAAGGAGTGGCTGGACGGAGGGGAAGTTGCGGAAAAATTGGTGCGTTGACAGTCTAGGCCGGATCCTTATGACCTATATGACTTTGACTTCTAACTTAATGACTTAGACCGAACTCGGCATCCCCCCTACGGCGTATGGAACTCGCTGGTATTTAACATTGTTTAATTACTCTATACCATTTCCCGCCCAGCTTCGCGTCTGGGATGTCTTCATGCTTCTTGGGGACTCTGGTGAAGGGGCCCTTTCAAGGCCAGCCACTAGTTCTCACTCTAAAGGCGGCTCGATCGGTAGCCAGCAGCCACAGGCAGACATCGCAGCCCCTTTCGGGCGCAGCCTCGACGTTTTGCATGCTACATCCGCGGCTCTAATTGACGGCATGCGGGATATCATTCTAGAGTCTGACTTTGAGAATGCGATGAAAGTCCTGACAAGTTGGATTCCAATTAAGGACGTCGAGCTGTTTATGCGTGTAGCAAAGGCAGAGTGGAAAGTGCACTATCGAAAGAAGGCTTAAGATGGGCTTTGCCGCCTCGTCCAGTACGGCATATAGCCTTGCAAATCGTTCTATCCAGAGAGATATCCGGCCTTACTTCGATCTTATGTCCGCTTTGGCGGTTTCGATTGTCAACCTCCTTGCACGCGAATTTCACCAAACCATTTTTTTTCTCCCGGACCCATTTACAATTTGTCGCCTGTTTCCCTTTTGTCTCAGATTATACATCTACGCTATACGCCTACGCGCTGTCTCCTTTTCGTTCTCGTCCTTGTGCTTTCTATAGAGCAGTTCGGTTCACTAGTTCATCACCAAGACATATGACCAAAGGCTTCTTTGTCTTCTCCTTTCAACGTCAGTCCCTGTATTTTGTCCGCGATGCCATTTGTGTCCCCCGTTCCTATCTAGCCTTTGTTCCATTTCATCTCATCTATGATGTGGCATCAAGATACCCCCGTGACTAAGTCACGATCTAACTTGACACTTCTTTAGGCTCCTTTTTTTTTTTTTTTTTTTTTTTTTTTTTCCCTCCCCCTTTTTATTTGTTCTCTGTTTTCATAAGATACCTCGTTATCATGACTTTCATATTTTTGCTATCTTGGAACATCCTCTCTTGGAGTCTATTTTTCTTCAGTTTTCCCGAGCATGGAGGCGCAGTTTTTGTGCTGAAGAGGAAGCATCTGAAGACGAGCGACGCTTTGCAGTTTTCAAGTACCAAAACATTTTTTTTGTATCTGCCTAGATTTTTATTTCTTTTTCTTTTTCTTTTATTATTATTATTATTATTTAAGACGTTTAATTTATAATCTATAATACATACGGAGTCCAGAGTATCCAAGATTCATGCTCTCACATTCTGAGGTTTATTGTCGGCAGTTTCTTCCAGCTCGTTTCGCGAGGTGAGCATCTTAATACTTGATAACTATGAGGTTTAAACGATGGTAGGACGTCTAGCAGGGTGCAGTGCTTTGCGGAAAAAATTCTGGGAGAACAGCCGCCCGGTTTCGACAGCTGCTCGATGCCAATCCTTGTGGTCATGGATCAGATAATTAGTTGATATTTGATACAACTTTCATTGGTCTACTTATGGTGTTACTATTGGCGTTTAATTGGATAATACTGGCAGAGACGATCCTAGGAAGCAAACACTATTGGTGAGATACTTAATTCCAGTACTGGGTACGGAGTACGGAGGACAAAGCTATGTCTATTACGTGCATTTCTATTCCGTACTGCTTTAACTACCAGTACGGAGTAGAATTTCCGGAATAAGAGGACGCGGTAAATCTTGGGGCGTCACCTCCGTCCAACAGCTATAATGTTGGGAGGAACCGAGCCAGAGAGCCGTGAGGAAGTCCTCAGTCATGGCACTAGCTCCGATGCAGAGGCAGCAATATGGGCTACACTTGGTCCCCCAGAACAAGGTTCAAATCACCAGCATTCCCGGGAATTGGTTTTGTACAGGATGTTGAACTTAAACTTGTTGAGCATTACAATGCGGAGCCATATACCTCTTATTTTTGCAGCATGTTTGGCTGTCCCTGTTCTTGTGGCTATTTCTCTTTGCAATGACCGTCCATACTTTGAAAGCAATTCATTAGCATTCAATAGCAATCAACTGCCAGAAGTCTTGTAATCCCCATATAACCAATGACGCTCAAAAAAAGGCTCTATCCCGTGGAGTCTGAGCATGTTGTTCCATAAGTTTCTCTCTGATTTCACAATGACTCATAGTTTTCGTGTTGTGTGATGCATTCTGCTGGCCATAAAAGCCCTAATTGGCGTCGAAAACCTCCCATAACCATCATGCCATGTTCCGCAGCTTCAGGCTCTTAAATGGCAAGTGAAAATGGAACCAGATTCGCACCCGAACGGGGCCCTGGTTTTTGCCAGTCATTTCATATCTCCAACTGCAGAGCGCGGAACTTGGCTTCCGACTGACCAAAAAAAATACGACGACACGTAAAGCGATAGCCTGATAGCGGTATTCGTCAACATGATTCCGCTATATTGACTGGGAATTTTCACTTTGATCAAACAGTGGCCGCAACTATGATGCACTTGTCTAAAAGGGGGTTATCCCCTGCCCCTTTCTTCTCGGCCTGCAATAACTTTAGATTGCCTCGTAGTCCAAGAACAAAGGATCCGGGATGTGGTAAAATAATGGAGCTATAGGGGTTGGCTGTTAGTCAATAATTTTAAGGACTCTGCTTGGGTTTTTAGATTCACGAGTATGCTCTCGTAGTGCAAGTCATTGTGCCAGAGAGATGGCCTTTTAGAAGAGCTAGATCTTCCAGGCAAAAAAAAAAAAGGAAAAGGAAAAAGAAGAAAGAAAGAAAGAAAGAAAGAAAGAAAGAAAGAAAGTTAAAAATTAAAGAATTGTAAAATTTCAAGCCAACATCGCCGTCAACTTCCTTTTCGGGGTCAGGCTGGCAGAGCCTTGCGGTCCGTACGCAATTAACATCTGTCTATGAAAGTGTTTCAACGTTTTAATAGTTTGAATTTCTCGACAGTCAATCGCTCTCCTCTTTTCCAGAACAGTATTCTATTGAAAATGTACGTGTAAGCTACATACTAACAATGCTGACAAGATTGAACTTACACAGACCCTGATCACAGCTGATCTAGCTACGTTTATCTTCAAAGCACTCATATTTTGAAGTTTGCATAGTGAACGCCTCCAAGCCGGGAAAACGAAACCAATGGCCATATCCGTCGATATTTGCAAACTTGTAGGACTTTCAATTCGTCAGTTCGTTAACACCACCAGGCCTGGGCCAAAGGTGTTCTTTCAATTTTTCATGAGAATGAACTTGACTCCCATGTTGTTGCTGCCACCAGAGCCTTGCATTCCACGTGTAAACTTGCGGCGTTAGAGTTTGAAGAGCTGTTCGCATCTAAACGCCTTATTGTACTGTACAACACATCGGTGCATTTTTCAACGTCGACATAGTCCCTAGGGCCGACAGACATGTCGCTATCGCATCTACCCGGCCTCATCGAAGACGAGTAGTCCTCAAGTGTAGTTGAAAAGGCTAGAATTGGAGCTCCAATCTGCTTATTCTATGTCAGCTACCTTATTCTCACAGAGGCGGTTTCCACCGACCGGTGTGCGCAGGATCCCTTTTCAATCAGTCGAAGTTAGTTGAACGTTAGGGTAACCCTTAGGGCCCAAGATCGAAAGCACGTTGCGCACTGCATTCTTATCTTTGTAAGCCTTGGAGTCCAGGATTAGGGCCTTCAACCTGGGTTGCAACGCAGGTAGCACCCACATCATAGACTGGTTTTTTGTTTTGTTCAGATCATGGCCAAACATTTCGCGTTCAGTAAAAATCGGACCAAGTTCCCAGACAATCTGCTCCGTCTCCAGGGTCCTTGTACAGACTGGATCCCGATGCTTGTTAGCACATAAGGCCTGCCAGAAGCGCGTAGCGGGTTGAGCAACGTTGACGTGTGGAAAGTTAGCTTGGATCCAATTGGGATTCTTTGCCATAGCTACCTTTCAATGTCGTCCGCTGCTTGAGAAAAGAAGAACAACCCTGCCCGCTGTGGTGAAGAAAGGCACCTGGGGGTTTCCCGGGTGTGGTGATGATGCCATGTGACTGTGCGCAATATCTGAAATCAATCCTTTATACCACCAGGTTATTGAAACGCACAGAAGCATTGGATGCCTCAAAGACCTTACATTCAAATGGAGAAGCAAGTCACGAGCATTTTTGCAGAGATAGCGCATTTAAACTGATTTATTCCCGCCATTGCCATGATAAAACTGTGAACTTCTGTGTGTGTCTCTAGCTTCGTACAAACCAAGATAATAGATCCAAAAGGGTGGTAAAAAAGGTCAAAAGGTGGGAATCCAACTACGAGAATGCACTGGGAGAGTGATCTGCAACGCCATACCCACAAAACAAATGAATGTAAGAAACTAAAAAGAAACTATAAGTGGTATCAAACTAGGAAATATATGCAAAATCCAAAATATGCTTGCAGGGGAAATGTGGATGATCACATTTTTGGGATGCTTAATTCTTTGCTTTTCCCATCTTTTGCGCTGTGCATGAGTGGAAAACGAAAACCATGCAAGTTAACAAAGGAGAGAGTGGATGCAAGGAAGCTTAAGTGCAGGCATTTAGTTTTGATGGACCATTGTTGGTTGAGGAGCAGGTGGATGATTCACATCCATCACACGGGCTGGAAGTGCACCGGCAGGGACTGAATCAACAGCAACCCCGTTGGAGACATCGTGATGGTATCCATTGCTGTAGGATATATGGTTCGAACTGTGCCCATTTTGAGGACCCGTGGCATTCTGCTTCGGAGCATTCTCCTCTATGCGGTGACTCGACGCCTCATTACCCACGCTGCCATTCGTTGCGATTGAATTTTCTCGCGAGTTTCTACTTGTCCGGTATCGTCCCAGAATGATGATTTGCCCATGCTGGGTGTGATCTGAACTAGAGGAGATAGGTTCGTCTCGATGGCTAGACCGGCTAGTCGTCCTTTCATGATTGCTAACTAATGTGTTTACATTCATCTGCCCACCGGGTCTGCCCGGATCAGAGTGGTTTGTCGCTACCATGTCGTTGCTCTGAGATAAAGAAGAATTCCCGGGGCGTGAGTTGCCGGTGTTACGTCTTCCTGGTCGATTCGGCCCACTAGGCAAGGACTCCGTAGAACTCGATTCAGATAGGTGGGACGACGGTGGCGGAGCTGGTTGATGACTTCCCTGGGCCTTTCTTTTTCTCGGAGAATGTTGATATTCTGAACGAAGATGCGAGGCTGGATGTCCCGTATTAGGAGAGATGTTCGGGCTCTTGCCAGACGGCGTGTTGGGATTAGAAGGTGGCACCCAATGGTGGAAGTAGATAGAGGGGGAGGCCTGGGCGTGTTGTTGCGATTCCTGTTTGACGGATGCGTTCTGTTGAGGGTGAGAAGTCCGCGAGCTGGTTGGCGGTGGTGGCCTTCCACCAGGGTTCATTTGGGGTTGCTGAATGTGCATTTCAGCCGAGTTGATACGGGAGAGTATGGTCATTGGTTGGGCAGGTAGTGCCGCAGGGGTAGGGTTTGAATGACCAGGCTGAGAAACTCGGATATATGGGCTCTGGGCTGGGGATGGTGGAGTTTGCTGCACAGGTGGTCTCGCCGTCGCGGGAGGGACGGAGCGGTTGGCAGCGTAAGGGTTAGGTGGAATCATTCGATTATCTCGAGGAACGTCTAAAGCTGCCTGTTGCCCTTGAACTGGAGCATGATGCTGGATCGGCTGAGGTGGGGCCGTTTGGGATCCGTGTCGCGAATGTTGTGGCTGATGATATTCTTCTTGTTGCTGTTGAGGAGCAGGTTGCTGGTAGCCTTGCATTGGAATCTGGGGAGGCCGTGATGTCCCTGTGCTCATCTGAGATATATAGGGTTGCGCCCACTGCAGATTTCCACCGCCTAAACCAGTGAAAATCAAGGGTATCATATATGGAGGAACACCCGCCTGTAATGAGTCCCTCAACATGGCCTGTTCAATTTTTCGCTGATCCAACTTAAGACTCTCTTGACGCGTTCGCTCTTCCTCCTGTTTCCTTCGATCCTCTTCAACCTTTACCGGAAGCCACAGTCGCAAGGACTCCTCTGAATGTTGCCACTGCGACGGATGTAGCTGGGCCGCGGAATTCGGCATCTGGTTTATCGTGGGGAGAGACATGGTCATGGGCGGAGGAAGGTTCCTGTGGGCAGTTTCTGAGGCGTGTTCGTGTGATGCGGGGGCCGGCGTCATTTGTTCGTATCTGGCAGTGTACTTGGACGAGATTTTAGAGGTTCTAGGAGTTGAGGCGGCCGATGGAGGGTTCTGATAGGGAGGAGAGGCAGGCCGAGGCACGGACTCATGGGAAATGCCGTTGAGGAGCGGTGGTTTCAAAGTGAGCAACATGAAGCAGGATGGGCCGGCGTGGAAGAGGCGGTGGGACGGACGAGTAGTGGGTGAAGTGACCTGCCGGCCAACTTCATAAGAGCCAGCGAACGAGGCAAGGAAGATTCGACAGTCATCAAACGAGAATTTGGTTAGGATTCACTGGGGCTAGCAAGGCCGTTTGAGGACGCGGGGGAGGAAAAGATGGAGATGAGTCTGTATGCTGGTGTTCACTGAAGCAGGAGGGCTGACGGTGAGAGAGAGTGAGTGTGAGAGTGAGAGTGAGAGGGAGAGAGAGAGAGAGAGAGAAAGAGAGGGAAAAAAAAAAAGAGAGAGAGAGAGATGGAGGTGAAGATGAGCGAGATTAGCACTCTTCCCATACGCGGTGCGTTGCAGGCTACTTCCCGCTTCGGGCCATCAACATTCCTTCCGGAAGCAGCACAAACACAGCAGCGCTGGACTCAACTCAGAGGTACCTTTGACGTCCAGACACATAATAAATTTCTCTGTGAGCCCATGTCCAGGTACAAACCCAGCAGCCCCCCCCGGCTACCGCATCGACGTATGCGCTTACTTAATCGGTGGCTGTTTCCTGATTCGTCGTCGGGTTCAGCGCTCCCCCTTTCGGGAAAGCACAAGGGACCCGCCAGCCCGAACCGAGCCCGCGCTAGGCCGCTTCGGGGCCCGTTGCGTGGCGCGACCGGGGAGAGGCGATGGCTGGATCCGGTAGGGATCGGCGGGCCTGCCTCCCCCACGAACCACAGTGCGGCCAATACCACCCTTGTAATTACAGTACCGGCTGCTGAGACTCAAAATCCGGCGGCCCTTGATGCCAGAGCCACACAGCTCCAACGGCAACTGTCTGAACGTTCCTCCTGTGCGAGAGATCAAGACTCTCGGCAAGACTTGCACGCGGAATCAGTTCATGCGAGATTTTGTCGCCCGAATGCCACCTCTCTCGTTCCAGTCCTCCTTGTCTCTCTTCAATTACTTTTTTTTTTTTTTTTTTTCAGATCCATCACACAAATCACCCGCCGGCCAACTTTACCAAGATGCGGGCGACATGCATACACGCCAAAAAAAAAAAAAAAAACTCCGTTCCACCAAAACCGCCATGCTCAATCTGGCAGCTGGTGTCCACATCCCCCCGGCTGATTGGGTGAACAAGCGGGTGGGGCCTCGTAGTCCGGACCAACCACATTTCCGGTAACTTTAACCTTATCTTTCTACGTACTGAAAGCCTGTGCATCGTTTTTCATAAATAGTGCAGGTTTATGCGAGCTGCAGTGTAAATCGTCCGATCTTTCTTTGTGCTGAGCTGTCTGCCGGACGCTCCATCGAGCATCTGCTGCTCTGTACATGGATCTCAAAAAATGTGGTACGGAGTAATATGTGTACAGATTCAAACCAGGTCTCCCGCCACGATATTATCAACCACGGCCCGCGTTCAGCTTCTATCAAACCTCGCCAGAAACTCCGTGGGAACGGTCGGGATATACTTTCTTTCCCGGTCCCGGTTCGTCCCTCCAAACCCGGCTCCGTAGCTGATCAGCATATCCGTGCTTGTCGGAAGAGAAAAGGGAAGGGTCATCGCTGGGTCAAGTAGTAGGGATGTGCGTTCTGACGCGGAGATCGCCGGTTGAGGGGATGCCTGCGATGGAGACTGTTGCTGTGGCTGTGAGGTCGAAGGTGGTTGCAGTTGCGGTGTCTGGGGCGTTGCCGGTTCGGCTGAATCGCCATCTTTACCAGGCATAGTCGCCACAGTGGGCGTCGAAGGGGCGGCATTCGTCGCCTGTGATGTGGGAGTTGTTTCGGCCTTTGGTGATGTTGGCCGGTACAGCAGATATGGGTCGTCCTTCAAAGATGTGATATATTTCATCGCGCTCTTCGGAAGCCCCTTCTCGCCCACCTCTGGCCGATACAGTTTCACGGCGTGAAGGAGCTGTATTGGGGTCAGGCGTGGTAGTTGCTGTAGAGTTGCAATCAGGGAGTCTAAATCGTCACCCAGCGACGAGAAACACTGCAGCCACTGTAGTAACTCGACAACCGGCTCAAGATGTTTGCGGGCTGCCTCAACCGTGCTCTCGCCCGTGCAGGTGGTAGATCCGTTCTCGTAGTGTTCCGGCTGTCGGTTGTTCAACCGCGCCCAATCCTCAAGTGCAGATACGTTCATCCTTATCTGCATTGCTTTCGTGCGTGCAAGATATCTCCTCGTCGTCATAATCCGGTTGAAGAGCTCCGCACCCAGCCAGTAGAACAACTGAGAAAGTATTTGGGCAGTGATGACGGAGTGGACATCGTAAAGGTCCAGCACAAAAAGAGTCGAGGAGAGCAAAGAGGTAATATTTCGCGGAGAGATTTCTGCCCGTCGCTTCGGCGAAGGCGGTCTCAGTCTCTTCTCCAACGGTTCAGGCTTAACTTTCGATTTAGATCGGAAGAGTTTCCACTCATTTTGAAAATGAACGTCTTCGAATCCCGGAATTGTTTCATGTTCGAGCATCGCGTTATCGAAAACTTTGTCCATGCGCCGCTCTGCATCGCGGATAATCAGGATAAAGATATCATTGATGAGTTCTGCGAGATGGAGTTGAAACTCGACCGTTGCCGATACCAATTCCCCGTCCTTCTTCAGGTAGTGAAGTAATAACGTAGCATTAGATATCCAAAACGCCAAAATGGTCATATCCCACTGATGTTTTTCTACCACGGCATTGATCCGATCTGTTGCCGACAAGAGCAACGTGCTCAGGAGTTCTGGGCTGGCATGGTAATGGGCGTATCGAGCACATAGGAATAGGACGTTTGCGGGGATGGGCTTCTGAGACGGAGAACGCTGCGGTGTCATAGTGGTAATTATAATATCCAAGATCCTGTCAAGTTCGTGCTCCTGGAAAACAAACATTTGATCATGAAGACACCGGTCCCACACGAACTCCTGTTGGTCTTCCAATTCATCGTCCATAGCCTGCAGGATTATGTTAGAAGGTCAGGATAGAGGGAGATATGGGGTGCAAACACCTACGTCGAGTTTCTCGTCAAGGCCCAGGCTAGACAAGTCAACCTCTAAATTCATTGCGCTTTCTTCCATCATCATTCGTCTTTTTATCTCATTTTCAGCCATTTCCTCCTCAAATCTACCGTGACCGAAACCAGAGTCATAGAAGTCGTTGTTGATACCAGATGACCCAAAATTGTAGCCGTTCTCTTGCAGGTAGTTCGAGATGTCCGTCCCAGGCTGCACGAAATCGAAAGCTGTACCTCCAGAAGAAGATCTGATCTCGGGAGATGCCCCATAGTCGAGCAGGACCTTTGCAATGGTCTTATGCCGATTCGTCATCGCCCACATCAATGCGCTCCACCGATTGCGGTCCTGGTTATCAACCTGCGCTCCCGCTTCAAGCAGTGCAGTGACAACCTCGTGGTGGCCCTACCCAGCGTTAGCCCTCCCTTTCGCTCAGTTCACCCAGGCAAAGAGAAAATAGAACAGCGAAAGACATACGAAGCAGCTGGCATATATCAACGGCACCGTCCCCTCCTCATCCGGTAGATCAACGTCGACGTATCGGCTTGCTTCTCCGTTCAGCAGTTTCTTCACCCTCTCGACGTCGCCGTTGCTGGCGGCTGTGTTCAACGTCTTCTGCAGGATATCGCGCTTTTGCTCGTCCGTCAATTTCTTGTCGGCAGCAATGTCGTCTTCATCAGTTCCCGCGATGCCAACATCTCTGTGCGCGGCCTGAGCTGCTAGCATCTCCATTAGTCGCGCGTCACTGCCTTCCATGCGTCCATTCTCTGGGTAGGCGCTCGTTCGAAAGCCAAGGTCATCGTCATGCGTGTGGTCATTGAGGGTGAGGTTAAACGTTAATGGCTTCGTGGGAACAGGACTTGTCAGGAATTGAGATTGGCCTGTTTCAGACAAACACCGTCGACAAAAAGTTAGCAACCGGCTGGCCCTCGGTGCATCATGGAATTGCGAAATCAGGTTTGTCTCCTTCCAACCAAACCCGGCAGACAAAATAGATTCGCAGAACCGGGATGTGGAGGGGAATTTTGCACGCAACTCCAGGCGTACCCATGGAGAGAAGCCACTAGGAAAGAAGCAACTCACCTTGCCAACCGTCATACATCTCTGTCTCTGCGGTGTATGTGGGCACCGAGCGGCGATCGTCCAAAGACGTAGGGAGATCATCGGGTAGGGCTCGTGGTTTCGGCTTCTCAAGTTCGTTTGGCTCGTAGATATCAGCGTCCGATGACGCTTCATGGTAAGGGCCCGCTTGGTCCATAATCTGGGGCACGAGGGAACGGACAACTATCGGTGACTGTCAAATGGATCCATGAGGGCTTAACGGGAATGTCAGGGACTCGATGGCTGCACGGCTATTGGACGACCAGCTCCATTGAAGGCCTGCCGTGTAATTTTAGCCGAGAAAAGCGTATATATATATATATATATATGTGATCAGAATTGGTCCCGGACAGTATTATCTGGGGACAAGTAGCCGGAGTTGGGACGTGAACTTAAGGTTCTGCCAACGTCAGTCTCAGGTGCAGGGACCACCACGGACGTGTTTAACCCCGCCAACTGTGCTCAGTAAAAATCCCGTATATACGAAGGAGCAGGCATGAAGTCCACGATCGGACGAGAGAGACTATAGGCAATAATCGGAATCAAAATTATTTTATCGCTAAGAATTGATTGCTCTGTGAACTTGAGCTGGCATTGCTATCCAATAATTTCTAGAACGGCCCCTCCCACGCTCCAAATAGCAACCTGTTCGAAGTTCCGCTGGGGTATCGAAAATGCAAAATGTAAAGCATAAAATAATCAAAAAAAATGACGTTAAACAAAGAATAGGAAAGTTGGTGAGAAACGATGCGCTGGAAACATGTCATAATATACATGGAGATTTCGGAATTTATGAGAGAAATGCCTGGACGACAAGGCATCAATCCAACCCTGTTGGGCATTCTATTATGCCTGGTAACTTCGGGATCCAAACCCCCACCCAAGTTTTATTCATTCGAGCTCCTTGCTGAGGGTGATAATTCTGTCGTCTGTCAAAGATGCAATCCAAAGACATCTTTCAACCAGACCGTATATAGGCTCGAAGTTGTACTTTGTACTCGAGTCTATTAGCCGAAGCAAGCTCTTAACGATCGACGCAGCTGTGCGATATCGCTCGAAATTCACTAGCGGCTCGCCGTCGCGAGTGCCTGCGATCTGAGCTGGTTTTTGGGCGTTGTAAGTGAGATCTTGAACATATAGGCCTATAATAAACCAAATATCAGTGATGGGTTATGCCACGACACGGTAATCCTACAGGGAGCCACTTACCGACAAACGGTATACAGCCTTCCTGTAGATTACAAGTCTCCATTTCAGACCGTAGATTGTGAAAGTTTCGGGTGGGCTGAATCAAGCGTTCCATCTCCTTGAGCAGCTGCTTCTCGCCATCGGGAACAAGCTCCCACGTCTTGACAAGCCTAGTGCAGTCGATCGAACACAATGCTATCGTCATCTGCAGCATCGTAGCGTAGTTGCGGATCCTCCGCGAATAAACAGCCACATGGATGAGTTTGGTGATTGTGCTTGCTCGCAAGGCCCGATTTGTTGTCATAACAATCTGCGACAACGCCCATTTCACCATGAGGTTGAACCGAGCAACAACCATATCGATGCCTTTGCGATCTTGGTCCGCCAGATAATTCACCCAGTTAAGCGTTGTTTGCGATGAATGACTCCATTTCATATCAACCAGGTCCTTCCAATCCACCTCGCTCAAAGCAGCCTGCTCCACGATAGCAAACTGTCGAGCGAGAAGTTCTGAATCATATGCTAGGATAAACGGCGTATGGCCAGGGCCCGTAAGTGCTCCAGTGGGCGAACCCTGAAGGTGTGTCTCTCCGTTACGTTGACTATTGTCTGAATGAGAGCGTATGTGTTTCACACCTCCAGAAGTTCTCCTCAAGGCCATACTGTTGGGAGACACCTCGGGAGTTAAAGGCTGTTGTTGCAGGCTTGTCGGGTATACATCAGATGTCCTGGTACCTTGATATCCCAAAGTTATCGGTGGCGATGGTGGATCAGCGAGCGGATGTGTACGAACTCCGAGAGTTGCAAATGCCATGATTGGAGAGGCACCATGGCCGTTTCTGTTGGATGGGCCGGCTGCTTCGGCACCGTTAATGACATCTATCGAAATCTCCGATGACAGCTCGGAGGCATAGTCGTCAATTTCAAGTTCATTGCCGTAAGGGTGAGCAGAGGTACTACGGCTCTTCATATACCTCGAGTGATGCGGAAGTTGTTGCATGCTATCCGTCTTTTCTACCATTTCAATTGATAGAGAGGGCTCGGTTTCTGTTGATGGAAGTTGTTCCTGGCCACTGAGCTGCGGCTGCGAGTTGGTACTTGAATGAGCATCGTACAGCCGCGGGCTTTTCATTGAGTCATCGGCCAAGCCACGTTCAAGAAGTGGAACGGAGCAGTAGGAATCCTCAGATTCAACATACGAGCTGATTCGAACCCCGGATGTACTCGAAGCTCCATGTTCACTGGATCCAAGCGTAGACGCTCCTGGCGCTCTAAGCTTGCAACTCCCATCGACACGGGCGTTAGAATCACCCTGCTGTCCACAGATAGGTGACTGCCTTTCCCATTTGCCCTCTAGCTTCAGCAACGTTGACTCGATACCTCCGTCACCATCGTCGGGTATTTTAGCAAACCCAGCCACTGTAGCCTCAAAAGACCGACGCAGATGCCGCGATTCATCCAGAGAGTGGCGCTGACGAGGATGGGCTCGATTGGCAGCTTCTTTATTTCGTTCGTTGAAATGTATTTTATTTGCCATTTGTAGCATGGAACCGCCAATTGAACTGGTTTCCGTCATATCATCAGCGGCTGAGGATGCTTTGCTTCTAGGCGCTGATTCGGTCTCGTTCTGCATCTTTCGTAGATCTCCACCCCGTCGTCGACGAAGCATGGGGCCACGGGGCTTGAGGCTGGATTTCTGCGAAATGTTGGACCGATTCACGCTCTCAATATCGGAACCAAGTTTATGTCTATTCATCACACTTTCATGAGATGCGTACTTTCGAATATTGTGGAATATCTTGTTGACTCCGCGAGTGCTTTCGCCGCAAGTTATCAAGGATTCCCGTCCCGATTCGGGAGCCTTTGATCCAAACATGGTTGTAAAGGACTCCCCATAGCACGGACTGTGTCTAATCGTGCCTGAATGCACGAAGGGCTTCGAGCCTACATCGCGCGATGGTGAATAGCCTCTAGCGGGTTTAGACGGATCATATCTTGTCGGAGGTAAAGAGATCTGCAGCCCACTTGGCATTATCGGTGTTCCGGTACGAGTATCGTCCACTATCACGATGGATTTGCTTCCCGTTGTCAATTGACTAGGAATGCTATCACGTCGTGAGGCTGCAAGATAGTTCGGATTAGCAGGCATATCACCAGAAAGATGGCGCTCCTTTTGTGTATCGGATGGCGCAGAGCGTGCAGTTCCCTGGTCCATTGACGGCCGCGAAAGCTCCGACTCCTTTAACAGCTTTCGGTAAGATAAATATGCCTCCTCGCAAAGCAGATCCACACGTGTATTGCTCTGCGAATGCGTTCCTCCCTTGCCCCTATAACAGTCGGGACGGAAGGACACATTTTTAGGCAACGGAGACGTTTTTCCTCGTGATTCGCTCGGGCTTATTCCGCGAGAAGGGCCTTGTCCAGACGGCCTGGTTTGCAGAGCACGCCGCAGCGTTCCAATAAACGCTTTCACAGCCGGGCCCGACTGCTTTGGCCGATCCGATCGGGTAGTTGTATCTTGTCTTCCAAATCCCGTCGGTGGAACCTCGAAATTAGGAGATGGAGGGCCGAAAGAGACTAAGAGAGGCTCGGGAGGGCCGTATACGTTCCCTCTGATCATGTTCTCCGTGTGAGGCAGCATCTGGAACGGAGGCTGTCCGTGAGAGTCGACGCTGGACAGCGGCAGCGGCGCTCGATCATCGCGGACGGAATCTGAGAAGCTGCCACTGCGCTTGTGAGAGTGCATTGGTCGACGCCAGATCGGAGGCATGGGAGGAAACGCAAATTGTCCAGGGGAAATAGGAGAACCAAATTTCGGCGACGCTAAAACCACAGGGTGGGGAGCTTCAGCTTGGTTAGATTGAAAGGAATTTCGTTTTGGGATAATGTGCGGGAACGAGCAAGAGTCCGGTTGAATGGTGCTGGGGCTCAAAGGCGATGTTCGGCGTTCAACGACAGGTTCAGGCGATGCTTGCTGATTTCGAGAATCCAAGTTTCCCGCCGCTGGCGAGAAGGGCCGGGCAGAAACCGGTGGTGGTTGCACATGCATCCCTAGCACGTTTTCAAAATTATGGCCAATCTCCTCCAGATCTCTGGAACTGAGCTCTCCATCATTGCTACCTTCGATGCCGCCGGGAACGACAGGTTCGTCAGGATCTTTCCTATCTGCGGATTCTTGTGCGTCCCAGTAAAGGGAGCATCTGCCGTTCCAACACTTCTTCAAATCTATCAGAATTTTGAGGTCGCTGTGACTATTCTTACTCCTATGCTTTATCTCCTCGTACATGTGGTTAAGCCGGCCACAGAACTGAATTCGCAAATCGCGATTGGACACAAAATCGTCAACGAAATAATTCAAGATCCAGTGTCTTAAGGCCGCGAATACGCGAATTCGGATGATTCTACCGTCGTCTTCGAGGCGGTTGATTGCCCACTGGAGCCTTGCTAGCAGTAGCGAGAGCAGATTACTCGGTGATAGATAGGAACGAAACGTCAAGAAGAAGTCAGACACGAGCTCATAGTCCATGAACGATTCTGACGAGATTTGGGCGACAATACGGGCCGGGGTTGCAGCGGTGACTTGCTTGGTTTCCTTTGCATATCGTACCACCGAAACATCGTCCATAATCAGCATCAAGTGGTCGAAGACTGACGGGTCTATTGGCTCCTTCAGCTTGTAGAAGACGCTGGACTGGGCTGGAGATGTATTGATCCCACTCAAAGCACGAGGGGAGGGAAAGAGCGGCGGGGTATAAGATGACAGGCCGCTGGACGGGATTTCGCTAGGAATAGAGGGCACTTCAGGATCGTCAGCTCTCATAAATGTAGATGACCGGAAATTATCTGAGACAGAAGTTCGAGTATATGCTGAACTGCGGAGCATTGGTGTACCTCCAGGTGTAAACCTGAAGCCTCCAAGCCTATAATGGGGGATAGACATCTCCAACGAAGGAACTTCGACTTTACCGT